TGCTCTAATGTGAAACTCACCCTACCTGTCTAACTCCCCCCCCCCCCCCTCCTTTCAGGTCTTTCTCAGAAGTGGTATTGCTAGGCTTACCCCAGAGACTGAGATGACCTCGTGTCGCTGTAACCTCCAAATGGCTGAGTCTGCTGCAGAGAGTTGCTCTTATGAGCAGGCTTGTTATACAAACATAAAAAAATGAGTATTGGACATGTCCTTCCTGGCTTTGGGTCTTCAAAGGTGCACAATCATTAGGAGCCTGAGTCAGAAGGGATTTAGGCTGGTAATGACGCTTGGGTTTAATAGGGTTTATTAAAGTATCTTCACTATTCAGAAGAATAAAATTGTACCGGTGGTTTTGCACTATTTTGCACTGTATACGCAGTACTGAATTGCACTGTGTGAGGCTTCTCCTCTTTTGGTGGTAAAGACTGTCTCACTCTCGTCTCCACAATTCAGGCAGAGCTCTGATGTTACAGTGTACCAGTGGATCTGTATAACCAGAAAAGATACTGGTAATCAAACATGGAAATCTGTAGGAAAGGTCATTTTAGTTATCAGATGCATCTGCCCTTTTCCCATCCGCTAACTTGCAGTTTTAATGGCTCTGGGGTGGCACAGATTTGTTACTAATCCTTGCTTTGGATCAGCAGTGCCTACTCAGATAATGCAGCCCTGGATTTGGGCCACAGAGTCCACAAAGCCAAATGGCTTCTGAGCCAACATGACACATGTTGCACCTTGCATTTCTGGCAGCATTTTTCTGTTAGTGACTTTGCTTGGCAGTCAAGATCGATTCAGCGATTGGAGAAAACTTCTAAATGCAGGCTGGGATACTGTCAAGTTCCTTAGGTCAGCAAAGCTGGTAAAAGGTGAAGCTTGTGGTTTCCAGTCTGTGTTCTAGAGATCGTCCAAGACAGTACTGAGTGGGACTAGTCTGAACTTGAGGACCTTGTAAGGCATCTTCAAAAGATGGTATGCCCAGACACCAAACTTCAGGGGAGAGCAGTCATATTACATGCTGAAGAGGTTTTGGCTGTCAGCATTAAGTGCTAAATTTCTTGCGAGGAGATGGAGATACGAATCATCTGAGCCTGAGAGAGCCCGATTTAAATTGGGATTATGAGACGCTTTCTACCTCCCAAGAACAAAGAGTACGTTGTAAAGTTTTGGTGCTCAGGTCTCTTACTGCAAGGCCAGTCTGATGACGGAAAAAAAGAGTGAATAAGGTCTGTGTGTTGTGCCAAGAAGTTGGAGCTATGGCTAACGTGCTCACAGCTCTTTGTGGCGATAACTCTTAGAAACGAATGCAGGTGCGGGCTTGCTTTCGTCTCGGGCTCAGGTCCTCCTTCCTGGTAGGAGCTCTGTCACTGACTGAAACAGGAGTGCTATCACACAAGCAGTTTCTTCAGAGAAAATATCAGAGCAGTGCTGGATTGCCAGCGAGGGGATTTATGGGCGGGAGGGGGACATTCCTCATCCGAAGCGCTCCAACTGTGACAAAAGGGGTTTCCCGAGAGCCCTCTGCCCGGAGGTTCGTGCTTCCTGTCGTACAGGGTTTTGTCTGACGTCCCTCACTTCTAGGCTCCGTGCACTTGTCCGTGTTCAGCCTTGTAGTGGTAGTGCTGCTGTAGCTGTGATGGTTTCAGAGTATAGTCAAGGTCGTGTTTGTAGGGAAGTTGTAGTATTCATTAAATCAAAGGGTAAAACTGGGAAAGGCAGGCGAATGTTCTGGCACGTGGGTCTGTCCAGGTCTGGAATAAACATGGGATGCCTGGAGAAGAGCTGCTGTGAGCTTGATGTGGTTACGTTGATCGTGTTGGGAGAAAGAGGCTGCTAGCAAGAGGCGATAAAGTCATTAGCCGCTTCCTCTAGAAAGAAGGGTAGTTATCTCCTAAGAAACATCCAGCCTTGGACATCTAATAAACAAAGCAAACAAATATTTTCACCTGGAAAAATGTCAGTTATGAAAGCTGTGGACCCTGATTTTGGTCTGTTTACTCCAGAACTGGACCTGGAAATTTGGAAAACCACCAAAGCAGTCTGCAGAAACTGAAGGGATACCTTCAGCAGATGCCTTTCTCTGCAGCTACATAGTGCAGCTCTTCCAAATAAAATGCATCGAAACAGCATTAAACAACTGCATAAAATAACATCATTAGTATTTTCTACCCTTTCTCAAAGCTTTTTCGCAGCCATACTTAGTTCCTTCTCAGTTGGAGTCATTAGCCGTGCCAAGGCTCGGAGGTCTCACGGTAAGGCTTGAACAAGAGGAAATCCATCTCTGCAATGCTGTCTCAGCATCCACAGCAGAACAGCGGCTCTCCCAAACCCACGAACTGGCCTCGGGCAGGCACGCAGTGTGGGATACCCAGCTCTGAGAGCAGCCCACCAGTATTCCCATCTCTGCAGGTCTTTGAACTTCTCCAGGTCTGTTTACCTCTGCCGAAGACTTTCTTATTTAACTTCTCTCACTCGGTAGCACTCAGGTGATAGAAACTGATAGAAACTTTGCTTTGACTCACTGAGCTGCGTGACACCAATTATCAGCGTGAACAAGCTTCGCATTTTCAAGTGGCTCTCTGGTTCTTTATTTGATGTTATTGGCTCAGATTTGCAAAGCAGCCATGTGTATCACTACATCGAGCTTCAATCTTTCATTTTAATTTATGGGTACATTATATACTTGTCAAAGACTTCCCAGAATTGGCAGTGTCTGTGCACCCTTTAAAAGATAATTAATTGCACCATACAAGAAAAAGGAACTCTGGGTTTCAGTAATGGGCTTCAGGAATACAATAACCTGGGTTTATTTTGGGGGGGGTTGTCCAGCTTTGCTTTCTACCAAATAGAAATATTTATTAAATATTCATATCACAGAAGGTGTTATGAACAAAGTAATGTCTACGCCATGTAACAGACACAACATACGTGAGCAAGTTTGATCACTTTTTTCCTGTTTTGTTTATGTGTTTATCTCCTGCCTACAGATTCATATCAAACATTCAGTCAAAATTTGTAGACGTTTCTAAGTCTGGCTTGCTAATAATTAATTAGGAGAATGGTTACTAACACACGTAGCTTAAACCAGTCTTCCAAGTGGCATTTCTCACTCCATGAGGAAACACATTTGTAAAAACTTGGTAGAGATAGGTGGGATCTTAAATCTGGCTCACAATAACAGCAGGAAAAAGCTGGGGATCCCCCTTTTCTAATAGCTAAGTTATCTAATTGTGCTTGGCTTTTGCTGTGTGGACGTTCCTGGATGTGGCTCTAAGACACAGCAGGTATAGTGTAATTCCAAGTGGCCCACAAGAAAGAATGCTTTAAGTCTATCTCCACGTACATTGAATATGTTGTAAGAAAACCCAGCTCTGGGAGTCCACATCTTTTTCTTCCCACTTTTTTTTTTTTTTTTTTTTTTTTGCGGTGTGCTGATTTATTATAGAGCCTGCTTGCACTGGGAGCTGATGAATACTGAAAGCCTGGACTTTCATTTTGGTATGAATATCAAAGCGTAAGTTTAATCAATATTGTCTCAAAACATAGCCTGAGCTGGGAAATGCCTCAGTGCCATTTCTTTTTGAGTATTTTCTGTCTTTCCAGTTACATTCATGATCAGGAACTCTGTGATAACAGCTCCTGTTGCTATGCTTCTGGTTCCCGCGAGCGTGGGTGAGAAGGGATGGGAAAACTTCAGAATAATTAAAAAAATGCATACTGACCGCTGTGGTTTATGATACTGTATCCATCCCAGAAGTCTTTTTTTTTTTTTTAATATATATATATTTAATTAAATTCTTTTTCTTCTTTTACTATTATGGCTATTTCCGGGTTTCTTCAGTTTTAACTACAAACGCTTTTGGTGGGATTGTAGAACTGAATTCTGAAATCATGGGGCTTTCCTCCACGTTCTTTAGAACTATTTCCATATGTTCTGCTAGTCTCTGAGAACACAGGAGTAAGTAGGATAAGTAGTCCGTGAGGGTGCAAGCAGCTCCTTACTGGTTCTTTTGCAGTGCTTGAATGCCAGCGCGTCAGGTTTACAGACGAGCAGTTGGTCTTTCAAGAAGAAACGGAGGTGAACCGCTTCAGCTCTTTGTCTCTGGAGGTTTTCTTCATCTCTCTGGGGTATCTGGTGTCAGGAATTGGTGACTTTTGGCTTATCAATGTGCTGCACACGTTGTTTTAATCAGCAGAATGCTTAAGGCTCATGAACTTCGTTCATGACCTTACTTGAAGAAAGGTAGATTTTTATTATTGGCTCTTTCAAAGGACTGAGAGCTGCCAACCTCCCTCGCTGCGTGAGCTGCATACCAAAGTCTGGGATGCTGGGGAGCGTAGGGCAGATGCCATCTACGCAGGAGAGCTAAGGCGAGGGGTTTGCAGGTCGGAGTGACCGTGAGGGTCCCAGCCCTGTTGAGGGATGGGTTTGCGACTGGGTCCTGGGTGACCCAGCAGCATCAGCGTCAGCAGCCTGTTGCTGCTTTGCTTTTTCTCTCACAGGCAGGAATAATGCAAAGTCCTTAGACTCTTTTGCTGTCCTGAGAGTCATGGGAACGCTGTGGGTCAGAGATGGCGAAGCGTTAGCATCTTAATATCCCACGTGCCACGTAAAGTCACAGAAAGCAGCCTGTCAGGGTCTTAAATTCCCCACATCAACCTCCCTTGTGCAAAGAAAGGTGTTGCTGTAGCCTGAGCCTCTGTGTTCTTCTGACTGGATCGAAACAGGTGCTTTAATTGGTCTTGACATTGTTCTTACAGGCAGCCCAGCCATGACTCACAGAAACCTGACTTCCACCAGTCTGAATGACATCTCTGACAAGCCTGAGAAAGATCAGGTAAGCTTCAGATTCAGACTTCGCTTGGTGATGTGTATGGTTAGGAGCTGGATGCTGGGGAAAGAGGCTCTGCACCATAAAACTGAAGCAGAAGAAGAGGGTGAACAAGGTGAGTAGAGTGTTTCCGGGTCCTGTGACTGGATCCTCCGCTTTTTAAGCACCGGCCCTTGAAAACAGCAAGTTAAACTCTTGCAAGGCCTGAAGCAAGTGACACCACGTACGTGACACCCATGAGAAAGGAGGGAAAATACTCAGATATTGATGTATATCAGATCCTCTTCCTACTGAGAAGAGGTTCTTCAGGGGTTACAGCAGGGGTCTGCACAGGAGCTGAGGTCCTGCAGCACTCCAGGACGTGTGTTCACAAGGGCCATGGGGTAGATCAGGAGCATTCAGGGGCGTGGGTCCCTACTACGGCAGCTGGTGGAATAGAAGATGCTACCTCACCCTGTGCAACTGTGCATGGCTTCAGAAAGGCAACTGTGCCGAAAGGTAACCGTGGAAGAACAGCTCCAAAATGGAGATGAGTAATAAAGTTAAAATTGGCCTTTAGTGCCAAGTCTCCACGAATGTGACCTGTTTCTTAGATTAGGGTAATGTTTGCGATATATCATACGGGCTGTCTCTGTGTGTGTTCTCGTCCTTTCAGAGAGCTGAATTGGGAGTAAGAGTGAGTTTATTTCAACTCTTAGAAAACTGGTGTCTGAATAAGGTCTCCGTGCAAATTTCAGAAAACCTTTGTCTTGGTTCAAAAAGTGGGTTATTCTCAAAGCGTGACTGTTTCTTTTGGAGAATCTTTTTTTTCCCGTGTCTTCCAGCGTTCTCTAGTCCCATGGTTATTCTGAATGCAAATGGGAGTTACTTTGGAAAATGATTTGGGTAACGCAGTAATGCCGGCCAGCTGAGAATGACTCTGGTCCTTCACATGATGGCTGGTTGCAATCTTCTGTAAGTGCAACTCTGCCTTAAAGGGACACAGCAACATAATCAATGTAGAAAAGTGAGTGCAGAGTAATTAAATATTTTAAAAATAAATATACATATATTTTTATATAAATAGATATACTTTCATGGAAAGAGAAGGGGGGCAATGTGTTTTGCATTGACCTTCGTGTCATTCAAAGTTGTAGCATGCATCTATATTGGTTGGCTGGTTTTGCAAAATATCCGTCTCCTTTAATATATGCAGCCACGCGTGGGGAAAGAGAAGGATTGTAAAATAGCTTTTTTTCATTGGAAAGACTGCTGTGTTTTATTTTTTTAATCACATTATAATTGGGGTCTTATAGACTAGCAGAAAACTAGGCC